TCCCATCCACCCCTCTTCTTTGTCTCCATAGCAGAGCATGTTATATCTTTCCACCTCCGTCTGTATGTTGGGATGTTGTATTCCTCTCAATTTAAGTTATCCTTACAGACAAGGTCGAAATTGTCAGCCTCCTAAGTGATCTATTTTTATTCGATGGGGATGTAAAACTCGTCTCTATGTCAAGTTTTTAATCAATTTCCTTCTTGTTTTTTTCTATATACGTCTTCATTTCTTTGTAAGTCTTTATTTTTAAAGTCTTCATTACGTCTTCATTTGTCTATAAGTCTCTATTCTTCTTCATTTCTCTATAGTATTAATATATTTTTAATGTCTTCATTTCTTCGTTTAGATTTTCGCTCTAGACATTCAGTCCCATTCGCTCTCAACCCCCCCTCTCTCTCTCTCTCTCTCTCTCTCTCTCTCTCTCTCTCTCTCTCTCTCTCTCTCTCTCTCTCTGTCTTTATCTCCCTCTCTCTCTCTCTATCTATCTATCTATCTATCTATCTATCTATCTATCTATCTATCTATCTATCTATCTATCTATTTATTTACTTATCTATCTATCTATCTTTCTATCTATCTATCTATCTATCTATCTATCTATTTATTTACTTATCTATCTATCTATCTTTCTATCTATCTATCTATCTATCTATCTATCTATCTATCTATCTGTCTGTCTATCTGTCTATCTATATACCTATTTCTCACTATCTCTCTGTCTCTCTGTCTCTCTCTCTCTCTCTCTCTCTCTCTCTCTCTCTCTCCCTCTCTCTCCCTCTCTCTTTCTCTCTCCCTCTCACGCTTTGTACATTATCTCTCTCTCTTATTATCTCTGTCCTCTTCTCATTCTATCTTTCTCTGTTTCTCTTCCTCGTTCCCTGTTTTGAGCAGTAAAACGTTCAACTCTATAAGGAAACTGAAAAACTTGAAATAAAAGAGTTTCTGTTAGACAATCTCAAGGCTGATACTGTATTCTAATACCATAGTTCTCAACACCGAATAACAAATAGAGCTCATAGAACAAAAGCACCACCAACCTAACGCTTACCCAGGACAAAACTCTACGACACCTTGTCTATCATAAGATACATTAACAAAATGTATCAAACGAATAATGAACTTTTTGTAAACCATTGAATCTGAGAAGGTTCAAAATACGCCTTATCGATTTCTTCTGCTTCAAAGGGAGCTTCGATTCTCTGTTCTTTAGAGGAAATAATTTGGGGGGAAATAGCCTATACGTACAACTACAAATGTGACTTTGAATTCATTTCAGCGTGAGATTGAACTGAGACAATCAAGATATTTTTTCTTATGGAAAAAAAACGTGAAATGGATTCTTGTTTAAAGATCCTTTCAAAATTGACAATAGAATCCCATCCTATCAGTTTCAGCAAAATTAAGGATCACGTAGAAGTATAAATCTTTTATGTAGATATCCAGGCGGGGTTTTTTTTACCGACCCTTTTCGGTTCTTTTGGGATTCTGTGTATGCGTAAGAGTGCACGCGTACGTATGTGTGTGTGTTTGTAAATGCGTGTGTGTGTGTGTGTGTGTATGTGTGTGTGTGTGTGTGTGTGTGTGTGTGTGTGTGTGTGTGTGTGTGTGTGTGTGTGTGCGCGCGCAACTATGTCCTACGGTTTGTGTGTATGTGTATATGTGTCTGTCTGTCTGTCTATGTGGGTTTGTGTGCACACGTTGGGTGTATGTGTATAAGTACGTGTGTGTGTGTGTGTGTTGGACATTGCGTGTTACTATGTGCATGTGAATTTGTTTTTGTGTGCGAGTGTATTTCATCTTTGTTTATTTTTAATGGTACACACTGTTGCAATAAATGGTTAAGAAACTTCCGGTCCGACAACTCATGGGCAAAACAAAGTTTTCGCAGAATTAAACACTGATTATGTCCCTTAAGACGAAAGTTAACAGTTGCTGTCTCGCTGCTTCAGAATTACAAAGTTTTATCTAACATTTTTTTTTTTTTGGGGGGGGGGGGGTGGGAGGGGGAATGTTTTGAGTTACTCAGACCATGAGATCAGAGACCAAATGTTCTATCTGACTATCAAGATATCAAAGAATTGTATTTGAAAAATCTTGCCAAGTTTTGAAACTAAAAATCTGTCTTTTTTATAGTTGCGTATCCTTCCTTGCTTCCGTGGTAGTGAGGCAGAGCTTCCTTGCGCTACCGGTCCTTCTTTTAAAATATTCCTGCTGATATCGTGTCACGCTTTTTTGATGTATGGATTTCCCGTGTGCTTATGTTCATGTTCACGTTTTTTTCCACATCGACTGGTGGAAGAGAAGGGGAATACACTTGGTTTGCGCACATCATCCTCTACTACTGGAAATCACCTGTGGTAGGGGTGAAGCTCTTAAATACGTCATTGCTCAAAATTAATAACTCTTCAAGGTAGTGTGTGTTGTGGGAGAAGAGAAGAAGAAGAAGAAGAAGAAGAAGAAGAAGAAG